CAATAACACATATTAATGAGAAGGGAAGGATTGTGAGAGAGGAAAGACTGTGGTGAAAACATTTTGGGGATTGCTGCTTTCATTCACAGTGGCACCTCCTCCTCCTCTTCCTCCTCCTCTTTTTGCTCGTTCCCCCACTACATACACACACACACAAAGCCATGCATAATTGATGTTAGCTGTAGGCAGACACTAGCAGGCTGGACTTTATAGCGCAACTGGATGTGCATGGAGGAAGGCAGAGGCGAGATGGTAGAGCAGGTACTTCTTAGAATACATGGTTTTTCCTCCATCTCTCTCTCACTCCCTCTTTCTCTCCTCATTGTCACTTCTACACTCAATCTCCACACTGTTTGTACTGCAACTGCAGAAGGCAGTTTGCTGCATGCTCCTTTTGTTGCGTGTATTTGTGTGTGTGTGTGTGTGTGTGTGTGTGTGTGTGGGTGTGTGTGTGTGTGTGTGTGTGTGTGTGTGTGTGTATTTATGTGACATGTGGGTTTGCAGGACTGGAAGCTTGTTTGTGTTTTGGTTGGTGTGTGATGCATGCGTGTCTTTCTTTCTGTCTTATTCTTTCATCTTCATTCATGGTAGAAGCCAGCAGCAGAAAATGAAATTGTGCAATAGAGAGACAGAGACAGAGGGAGAGCAAAAAAGGAGAAGTGTTAAGAAATGAAACCAGGAAACACTGCATGCTGGAAAAGTTTATTGTGTTTGTTCACTAGGGAGAAATTTTACTTTTTGTTGTGATATTTCCAAGTCTCTTAATATAATACTCAGACAATTTTTTATTTTGAATAAGATTATATTGCTGTAACAATTCCCACTGCTCATACTGGCTGTGAAGACTAACTTTAACCTGAACCTAAATCCAACCCTAACTCCAAGTGCTACAGGAAAGTTCATCGGGAGAACAGACTCTGACATAGAACCAGAAGAAAAAAAGCAATAAATCTGCTATTAACAAAGTGTTTTTCTTAATCCAAATCTTGATATTTACTGAATCCTAATTGAGCCAGAAAGCAGTGATGAACATTGGAAGGAATATTTGTTTAGTTTGAAGTATGAAGTCAAGTGCTGTCAAGTTTTAAGTTTTTTACTTAATTTGTTTTGTTTTTTTAATCATTTAAAATGGGTTTTTGTCAGGATCCGACTATATAAAACTGACAAATATCAGACAAAACATAAATGCATAAAGACAAAGACCTAAAACATCTATAGTGTACAGTGCATGAAAATCTGGGTGCAATTAATAATGTCAGTATATTCAAACTAAGGGGAAGAAATGCACAAAAGAACCTTATTAATCTCACCAATTTTTTGTTTGTTTAACTTGTAACTGTGCTTGTCAGAGTATACTGTGCTCATCTGCCCAGTATATGTCTGCTATTGTGTAGCACATGTTGACACATTTAGCAGTGAGCATAAGTTTTTATTTTTTGGTCTATGCTAGGGATGGAACCCATTCAGTTCACTATAGTCACAGTTCAGAGTATGTAAGTATTGTTCAGTTCATATGAAATAGGTAAGACATAAGCAGAAAACATCGTTAGGGAAAAAGCCTCATGCCTATAACCCAGTAAAACTTGTTGGCAGGGATGAAATGTTGACTGCAGCTGTCAGTCAGTCTTATAAAGGGCTAGTGACCAAGACAAAGTACAGTTAGAGGATCCACATTAAATCAGTGTGCAGGTTATAATCTTTTTACTCTACAATTAAACATGCACACACAGTGATGAACAACACTAAATGAACAGGACAAGACATAATACAAAGTATGCACCACAGTACGTCACATACATTATAACTAAAAGCATGAAAATTATAACAGAAATCAAATGAAGGTGTGTACAATGCAAGGCCACAGACTTAGTGGTCCCAGAGTTGGGTAGCTTTCAGCAAGTTTTTTCACTTAGCTTGAAAGACTAATATTACCAACATTCAGGTCAGATCAACCGCTGTTTCTTTACAACCTGCCCAGATCATCAGACTGCTTGTGTTTAGTGATGTCACAGAATTCAGAGATGCCAGTATTTACTTTGGTGAGTACATTGTTATCAGTAGTGATCAACCTGAGGGCCAGAGCAATGAAAATGCATCCCAAATTGTACTAAGTTGTTGTTTCCCTTTTTAAACATCCTTAAAATTGCAATTCTTGTGGCTTTCAGAGAGGATGTTGGCTAAACAAATGCAGGGCGATAAAAGGCAACAGTGCAATTTCTCATGGAAGTCAAGTCAGTATGTTAGTAGTCAATAGATTTTATGATGCTCTGACAAGGAAGATAAATAGTCAATCACTGGAGGAGGGGCAAAGTCATTTAGAATGAAAACATGAGACAAATGTGTAATGTACTGTAGAATTGCCTAGTGAGATAGTGAGAAATAGAATGATACGGAAACAGTCATTTTTATTCTGGAAAAGGAGATAAATGCCTTCTCTCTCTCCCTCTTGTTCTTTCTATGCGCTTATTCAGAATTTTAATTGTATTCCTTTAGTTGCCTGTCTGTGTGTGTGTGTGTGTGTGTGTGTGTGTGTGTGTGTGTGTGTGTGTGTGCGTGTGTGTGTAGCACTTTGCCACGTACAGCATATTTCAGCCTTCTAAATGTGGTTCTCATTACACAGTAGAGCATTAAGCCAAGACTCACTGTCTGCATCCCTTTCTCGCTGTCTCCTTCTCTCTCTGTTTCTTTTTCCTATGGCTGCACTTCTCTCTGTAATGGCTGAGATATAAATATCTCACAGGAGTAACTGCTCTCACATACACAGTGACACATACAGTACAGTACTTAACAGTACGTGTGCTTTTTGAGGCGCATTTACTTTCTGTTCTTCAGTGTTTTTACCATTTTTTGAGAATCACAGTCAGTTGAAACCACATTTCTAAAACTCATAACAGTCATTTATGAGGTATTTTATATTTTGCATCTCAGAATTTAGCATCTTTGGCGTTGGTTAGGTTATACTGTCTTATTACAAACATGGGACTACTGGAATAGAGGACATATGCTGGCTAAATTTCCCGGGTGTGAGTGTGGTAAATACACTGCTCAAAAAATTAAGGGAATATTAAATCACACATTGGATCTTGATGATTGAATTATTCAAACTGAAAATCTGACAATTGCTCAAAGAATTTCATCAGCTGTCACATGGAGGTCTGTGTGGCCCTCCAAGGATATGGCTCCTCAAACCATCATTGACCCACCACCAATCCGATCATGCTTGGTCATGTTATAGGCAGCATAACATTCACCACGCCATCTCCAGATTCTTTCACGCCTGTCACATGTGCTCAGTGTGAATCTACTCTCATCTGTGATGAGAACAGGGCACCGGTGATGGACCTGCCAATTCTGGTGCTTTCTGGTGAATGGTGATTGAGCTGCACAGTGCTTGGCTACGAGCAAAGGTCATACTACAAGAAGTCAGGTCCTCATGCCACCCTCATGGAGTCTGTTTCTGACATTTTTATCAGAAACATGCATACCTGTTGGAGGTCATTTTGTAGGGCTCTCACAGTGCTCCTCTTGTTCCTACTTGCACAAAGGAGCAAATACGAGTTCTGCTGCTTGGTTGTTGTCCAACTCTCCTGGTGTAACAGCTGCCTGGTATCTCCTCCATGCTCTTGAGATTGTCCTGGGAGACACAACAAACCTTCTTGTGACAGCATGTGTGGATGTGCCATCTTGGAGTAACTGGACTACCTGTGTAAGGTGATTGGGCTGCAGGTACTGCCTCATACTACCAGTAGTGATTAGGACACTAGCAAAACACAAAACATGAGAAGAGTCACTCAGGAAGGATAAGGAGGGAGCATTTGTCTGTGGCCACCACATGCAAAACCTTTCCCTTTTGGAGGTTGTCTTCCTGTTCCCTCCCCATTGCACCTGTTGTCACTTTCATTTGCACCAAAGCAGGCGAAACAGATTCACAATGGATATATTGATATCCTTGAAGTTTAACAGATTTGGTGTTATGCTCTGATGATTAAGTATTCATTCATTCATTCATTCATTTATTGAGGAGTTTATTTTCCTTCATTCCCATGTAGTTTGTATCTAAAAAGAGGAATTCCATACTCTATAGTCCCGACACACCAAGACATTCTAAGTGTTATAGTTTGGTAACAGCTAATGACTGTAGTTATTTCATAATTGTAACAGTATATTTATGACAGTCTCCAAGACAATGGAAGATTAATAGATTGCTGCTAGCTAGCCAGCTAGCTAACCATTGGGCATTTTCCCTTATAAGTACTTATCTATTCTTGTGGACTTCTAAAACGCCATCAGTCACATCCCGAGTACTGTTCCAATTCAAAGTCTGCATCCAGCCAAGTACACATAAAAAAAAAAAAAGAAGTGATCTTGCTCCAGCCATTTTATGTAGGATGCTTTGGGAGCTTATTTGTGTGGAAATGGAGCAGCCAAGTATCCCAGAATGCACTACGTACCAGCTACTTGAGTTTGAGCCAGGCTCAAAGCTGTTATTATTTTCATCCTAGGACTGTTATTATGCCACTTTATAATGTTTAGATATTTTTTCAGGCAAGAAAGTAACCAGTTACATATGTGGTCAGTTTAATTTGGAAACTTGCTCTGATGATTTTGGAGATGCCAGTACATGTAACTGACCAGCTAACTATAATTAGCAGGAAGCTACAGCTTGTTCAGAGCACAATAGTCTGTCAGCAAGAGTGCTAGTGTTCCAGTTGTCTGTTTGGTATAGTCATATTTTGTAGTGGCCAAACTGTTGAACACAAGTGCAATTATGCCTGTTCAGCCTAAAGTTTGACCCACGTGACTAAACCATACTCCAACCCAAACATGATTTCTACATTTCTGTCTGAATCCAAGCCAAATCCTTGGGTACTGACAGGTCCTGTCAGGTTTGGTTTGGGTTTCTACTCTCTAGTCTGGAAAAGGAAGTCAGTGAAATCTCTAATGATGGAATGTTAAAATGGTCCTTTAAATTAAAAAGTCCATCTTATTCTCTTTTGCAGGGTAACCAGGAAACACCGGCACCCCCGGACCCATCCATGGCCCAGGCCTACTCATCAGCTCAGTTTGCCCATCCTCCCCAGAATGGCATTCCAACTGAGTTCACAGCTTCACACCACCATCCACATCCACACCAGCACCCAGCAGCACCACAGGACTACACTGGGGTCCAGGCCTCTGTCAGTGAGCATCCACTCAACATGTACCAGACCTCGCAGAACCACAATGAGCAGAGTGTGTCAGATTCTGGAAGTCAGACAGTCACTGGCACAGCCACGGTAAGGCATCACAGTAGAAGCTGGAATTTAAGTTGGGGATAGCTGGCTTTCACAGTTTGTATATTTTTGACAATGAAATCCCCTGTCCTATATAAGTTGTGCAATTAATGTGCGAAAAAAAAGTAAAACTGAGACATTTTGGTTTTGAAGCAGTTTGCGCTTCACATTTCACATTACACAACATTTCACAAAACAATAAAATAGAAAAAAGGCAACAATTCATATTATTGAAAGGGTAGGGACAACAATGCTTACTTGTGATTGGACAAAAACCAAGTCGATGACGATCAGCCGAGAGTATAATGAAGTACACCATGACCGAATGCTTGTCCAAGGATGTCGATGGTAATAGGCCAATTTTATACTGAGTTTGAAATGAATTTCTCATTTGTTCAAAAGAAAAAGGGTGCTTGGTCCTGGTGGTTCCAAACATTCCACTGAACAATCATTGAGACCACTGTGCTCCTAGGAACACAGAAAGCTTTAGAAATATTTTCATACTCTTTTCGTGATCTATGCCTTGGCACAAAATTTTATCTCAGTGGTCTGTGTGTCTTGAAAAACTGTCCATTCAATTCAATTTGCGGAATTAGAATGCATCAGAATCCACTTGGAATCTGAGAGACACCCATCTCAGGTCTCTGAGGTTTAGCCATCACCAAGATTTGACCGATAGCTTTCACACTGGTCTAAACCAACCAAATCAAGTCAAATCAAGTCAAGTTAAATTTATTTGGATAGCCCAGTACCACAATCACAAATATACCTCAAGGGGTTATATACTCTGTCCAGCATACAGCACTCTCTTTCCTTAGACTCTCAAACTGGATTAAAAAAAACGGAGTAATTTAAATTAGTTGTGAAAAGTCCCAGCACTTCTTTGAAAATATTCCTTTAAATTCAATCAGTCTCTGAAATATTTTCCTTTAAATTCAATGCTGATCCAGTTATGCCAATATTGCCCAGTGAAAGGCAGAAGAACTTGTCAAAGTTGGACCACTCCAAGGCTCTTACTGTCTTTTTGCCACTGTATAGCATGACCAGAAAGCAGACCCTACAATGTTACTTTCTGAGTGTTACCTGATTATCACTCCAACTCCTCTATCCCCCAAAGACAATTGCCAGTGTTCTCTGGGGCCCTTTGTGAGTTATTGTTATAATAGAATTCATATGATTTTTAATGCTGCATATATATGAGTGCAGCCTTGCAGGCAACACAAAAGTAACATAAAAAAATTGAAAACATATAAAAATCCTACTAGTCAGATATTTTCTGGATTTATAACTCAGTTCATTTTCATAAATATTTATGACACCATTGGCCTTAAGTGCCATAAAATGGGTATTATTTTGCATAGCAATATTGTGTTCACTCAGCACTGCAAGAAAAGCTTAGTTGTCTTTTTCTGCTGATCCTTCAAACTTAATTCACACATGAAATATTGATCTGAGTCAAAGATCAAGGTCTACTGACAAATGCCTGGCCAGGAAGAGTCTCGTCATAGCAACATACTTCAAAAATATTAACTTTTTAGCAATTAAAAAAAAATCTTTATATGTTTAAAACAGCAATCTGTTATATTATTTTGGTATTCTATTAAAATAAACCTACAGAAACTTGCTCAGCATAGTTAATGCTTAATCATGAAATTCATCCACATTGTTTTGTTGTTTATTTTATTGTGTTTTTGTTTGCTTTTAGTTAATTTTTGCATTTTAATGGTGCAATATCCTGGTTGTGCATTCACATGCTAAAGTAAAGGTCTAAGGAAAGAGTTTCTCGACTCAGTTGCAACATAGCACTGCATTTAGAACCTCCGATGTTTGGAAACTCACCAGGAAATGAAAACACTAACCAGACATTAGTGTCTTTTAAAAGAATAACTGTTGTGCCCAGGAACTTGTAGGACTCCACGACTGAAACAGTGCTGCTGAGTATAGTGAGTGGAGATAGGATGGAGGGACTCCTCCTAAAATCCACTATCATTTCCATTATTTTTGACATGTTCAGCTCCAGGTTGTTACAGCCACACCACAGGGCCAGCTGTTCAACCTCCTGTCTGTAGGCCGATTTGTCAGCGTCCTGAATGAGGATGATGACCGCTGTGTCATCTGTGAACTTCAGGATTTTTACAAAGGGGTCTCCTGAGGTGCAGTCATTGGTATAGAGGTAGAACAACAGCGGGGAGAGCACACATACTTGGGGGGGGCACCTGTGCTGATTGTCCGGGTGCTGGATGTGGTTTTCCCCAGCCTCACCTGCTGCTTCCTGTCTGTCATAATGCTGTTAATCCACTGACAGGTGGCGGCAGGTGCAGTGAGCTGGGTTGGTTTGGAGTAGAGGATGTCTGGAATGATGGTGTTAAATGCCAAACTGAAGTCCACAAATAGGATCCGAGCATAGGTCCCCGGTCAGTCAGTTGCAGGATGTAATGCGGTGCCTAGTTGACTGCATCATCCACTGACCTATTTGCTCGGTAGGCAAACTGCAGGGGATCCAGCTGAGGACAATGGATAATGTCTCTAAGTCCGAGTTACAAGTTCTCTCCAGCACTGTAATGCCCCTACACCAACCTCCATTAATGTAGAAACAGATGCTCTTTGACAGCCTTGTCAAAGGTAGAAAAACTGGAACCCACAGATGGAGTTTGTGTAACATACACAAAACAATAATTCACCATGATGATAGTAGTGAAAATGCAACTAGGAAAATGGACCAACTCTACTTTATCCACTCAGACTCATTGCCACCTGGTACTGCACAGAGTGCTGAGGAAGTGATGACTTCTTTTGATGTAATTTGACGTAATGTTAAAAAAAAAGAATTTTTAAACCTTTGATCATTGCTCAAAATGTTTACTTTGTCCTCTGAATTTCTGCCACGGTGTCATGTAAAACCTACAAAAGTTAGTCTTTACATTTTGAAGAATAATTTCCAAGGCATTTTTTTAACCTGCAACTTGCAATTCAGAATCAGAATCAGCTTCACAGGCCAAATATGTTGAACACATGAGTAGTTTGACCTCGGTACAGTGGCTCTCAGTATGCAAAAAAAAAAAACAAGAAAGGAATGGGCAAAGAAGATAAAGGAAAGTCTATTAGGAAAGTAAAAATTAAAATACCTATAATAAAAGTACTTACAAGATATGCAGTATGTCTATATACACACAGTTTGGATGGAGTTTTCTGATAGATATACTGTATGCAAAGGTATATTTTCAAGGTTTTGCACTTAGGGTTGTTGTTTTGTTATACAGTCATGGGTTAAGTGTTTGTCAGAGTGATGGCCCAGGGGAAGAAACTTCCATCTTCCAGAGGGGAGTTCAAATATTTTGTGTCCAGGATGTGAAGGGTGTGCAGATATCTTCTCTGCTCTCCTTTTGAACAAATGATGATTCCTCTTTAGAACTGTATCAGCAGCTCCTGGGGCAGGTTGAACTTCCTGCGCTGGTGCAAGAAGTGCGTACATCCTCTACCGTACCACAGGGCCGGCGGTTCAACCTCCCATCTGTATGCTGACTCATCACCATCTTAGATGAGACCAATGATAGTTGTGTCATCTGCGAACTTCAGGAGTCTAACAGAGGGGTCCCCTGAAGTGCAATCATTGGTGTATGGAGAGAACAGCAGCGGGGAGAGCACACATCCCTGGGGATGCCTGTGCTGATACTCTGGGTGATGGATGCGATTTTCCCCAGCCTCACCTGCTGCTTCAAATGCAGTTTTGCAGCATTTGTGTTTTACTTGACACAAATATTGGAGGGAATATTCTCTTTACTCTTTTACATTTATCTGCTGCAGTTAGTTACTTTAAAAATTTAGAATTTACATTAATAATACATACTAGTGGTTACCACCATTTCTGGCTTGTGTCCTCTTAAATAAAAGTAGTTCATAGCTGGGACCCTTGTCTCATGTTTCAGATTTACCTACTGCTTTGTGATATAAAAAATAAAAACTAGACTGTGTCCTTTTGGAGGGGCCCAACCTCTAGATTAATTATACTAAATTAGCTAGCTGTGGTCCACATAAAGTTGTCAAAATTAGCTTTACTTTCATTTAAGTAAATGGAGCTACTTCTACTTGACACAAGACAATGTATTTACAATATATACTGTGTACAATATACTTTAATTTCTAGATATATTATTTTATTTACATACAAACACATCTCCAGCTTTCCTAGCAAGTATGATTCATTCTTGATGCCATGTATTATTCTTCTTATTATTACTATTTAAATATAGGGCCCTATTTTCCTACAGTGAGGTGCAGGAAACTCCAGGCACAAGGCACATATGGGTGTTTTAAAAATGTTTTGCAATTTTGGTGACAACAGGCACAGCGCAGTTTCATGTGCAGCCAGGCTTTACTGGATCCATTGTGGAGGAGAGGCAGATTATATTATTAGAGGGAACAATACATTGTGAGCAGGTGGAGTCGGGGCTGGCTTTAGTTACATCCAATCAAACCAGCTCCTCTCATCCCCTTTAAAGAGCAGGGCAGACACCTGACTGACTGATGTCACTGATGTCAGGACAAAGAAATACATGAAAGATTCTTTCCCTCTATCTTCTTCTCCTACCAGTTACAGTATGTATTCCATTCCTAGACTGACAGTGACAAAAGCATTTATGTAGAAGTACTGCACATAAATGTTCACCCAGTAGTCTGCTAATATCACTGACCAGCTTATGTGCATGGAAGAAAGTTTCTCTGTTATGTAATGTAATTTACTCACAGCTACATCCAGTGTGCAAAGCTTTATAATTGTTTACTTTTTTTTTATATAATAAAAAATTATATTAGAATCACTGTGCTTATGTTGAAACTGACTGCACTCTACCAGAGTGCACGGCCAATGGATGTGTCACCCACTTTATCTCCATCTACAGCTGGTTTCAAAGCTGATCAAACCACCATAAAATGCAAAATCAGACACAATGTGCCATGTATCCCCATCGTAGTAACGTACAGATAAGGTATATCTGTGTGAAACT